TTCTACCGACATCAAGCGAGAACCTAAAAATCAAAAAAAAAGTATAAAGGGTAGACCAGGCAATGGCCAAAAGACTGCAACTTACTTTAATGACGGAGGCGATCCACGACTGTAGATTCATTCGATAGAACAAATCATGAGCCACCGTAGGCATTTGCACCGCAGCTTTAAGAATACTTAGAATTAGGCGGCGTGCCACCATATCAACCATACATGTTGTAAACAGACACAACATCACTTTGATACCGGAACTGTAAAAAAAAAGAATCGCAAAACCAATTTATTCAGAACGTTGCTATCGCGTAACGCTCTCATGGTATTACTCCGACTTTCCCGTCCAAGTTTTTATCCTCCCCTCCCTCTTCCCTTCCTCCTTGCCAATAAGGTTTTCATCGCTTCTTCAGTTCACGAAGGGGATATGCTCAGTTTTCAAATACCATGAGAAATATGTATCACTTATCTTCAGAACACTATCTCACACGCATGGTCACATGTTCGAATTCCTGATCAATATTCGCCTATGCCAACGAAGCCTTCCATCCCTCCGGGGTCGGTGAATTGGTACCAGACCCGTCTGGGAGGATAAAAGCACTGACTTGAACATCGGCTGGCCACCGCAAGTCATTATATAGGCCACATTCGCACTCATTACGCCACTACGATTCCGAATGGAAGTCGAGTGCGGGGGCGCATCCCTCAGGCGGGATTGATTAACGCCAAAAACTTGATCCTTTTTATCCTTTATCTTCAGAAAACTTCAATAAATCATCTTTCTTTCATAAAAAAGGGAGAAACCCTCTCAGAAAGGTTATTTAGAAGACATGAGCTCACCGACTTTGAAGTACATTGTAGTCTCTTGGTTCGATAAGGGCATCAAGAATTAGCGTCAATATCCACTCCCGCTCTTGTTTATGGTAACTTGCCGAAGAACTGAGAAGCAATTTATAAAACTCCGGAACCTAGAACAAAGTAGGGCTCAGAATCGTTCTTTTCCACGCAAAAATCAAAACAAAAAACTTGATACGTTGTTCAGATCGATGACAGGCTTCAAAATGAAGAATGACAGAACGGCTGGATACACTGGCGATTCCGGATGAAGGATAAGTTTTGAGACCCGAGCAAAGAAATGAGAAACCACTGAACCAGAAGTATTTTTGGCGAAATTTAAAGATATCCACAAACTTCAAGAACGAAACAATCTGAATCGGCGGTGAGCTGAGTTGGAACAAATGAAAACTAACTGTGGGGTAACCTTGGGGCTTCAGTTTCGATACTTTGCTTCAAAATACGCAGTAAATATACATACAGGTTCTTATATCGGTCATCAGCGGTATCAATGTCGAGTTCCTGGAACAAATCTACACATCAGATTCACACAAAGTAGGTTCGGAAATCCAACTGTAAAACCTACATGTAGTGATGTTAAGAACTTCTGCAATACACAGTAAGCCAGCCTTCGAACTGTGATATCTGTAGATGAGGTGCATGAAAACACCAAGGCCAATCCATTCCGTTCCACGAATGAGCGATATTTCAACTTGAAAATCAAATATTTTGCATTTACACATTAAGTTCTTGAGATTAGGGATGCGTTGCTCCTGCTCTAAACAGTCATTCACCAAGTGCTCCAAACAGACATTCACTTTACTGGGGTAACAGAACGAGGACTTAACCTATGCCGTGCTGAAGTTAATGGGGAACATAAAACGACTAGTTCAGCTGCAGGGTTCTATAACGGTCAAATAGCCTACCCAAGCCGCCAATACGAAAGCATGATAACTAAAGTAAAGAGGAGTACTTGTTGCTCATATCATGGGTATATGAGGGCAGGTATAAAGCAAACTAGTGAGTAGGTTTGTAAATGAAAACATTGAGAGCAAAAGAACTTACGAAACGACATAAAAATTCACTTAAACCTTAACACCATACCTCTGATCCTGGGTGCATCATGCTCAAAAACAATCGCAGAAGAAATCGGACGTCGTAGAGAACTTTACCATCACGGGCATCCTCACGGGCATCCTCATTCGAGTCCGTTAACACTGGTCTCGAATGATTAAGTACAGTATTCCACATACGCATACCATCCAGCAGTTCCAAAACCTAAAGAAGAACCTAAATGGACAGTTTTCAAGAAACTTGAGTGATTCTCCTACCTGTTCCGGCGTCGTCCGACTGAGAGTTCCACCTAATTGACCACGCTTTTTATAGATTTCCTTTGACTGCTCTCCCCAAACTATAGGTGAAATCATACTAAAAATAAGGGACGGGTCAGAATAAACTAATATCAGGCTAGACTGAGAACATTCTTACTTCATATTGATTTTGTAAGTATTCTCAAGCAACTCTAATGCATCGAAAATTTGACGATCTTCCTCGGAAGTAGTAGCATTGTACGATGCCAGTATTTGGGTTAGGAATTGAAAATTCACTTCCTTCAGAACCTTTTTCCGTGCAGATGTCTTTAAAGGGAACATTTTTAAAGGGAAAAGAGGGTAAAACGAAAGACCTTACTTCATCTTTCTGGCTTCGTAAATAACTCAAAAGCATAGCTCTCCAGTCATTTTGCGAGCTCAGGACTGCTTTTTTAACCCATCTCCAGCTTTCTGAAGGATGGTAACAGCATGAAAATACTTATTAAGTTTTTTGAACATACCTCAACAACATGTAAACACAACAACAACCTAAAACCAAAACACACAATTACTACATCAATGTTTGGCCTAAAACACTGCTTATGTAATAATCATCTGCACTTCTACATTGTATGCTTCTCCCCTAGTTCTATTTAGATCCTATCGACAAAGGCAGTAAACAGCCATAAAAAAGGATGGCAAATTCTTGCTACTCTTTCATCGATTCAGGTCTGCAGGCAACAGCTGGTGATATAGCAGCCACTAATACAGTCACCAAATTAACGTCCATATTAGACCTCCTCACTTGTAAAAACATCTTTGAATACTTGGACGGTCACCAAGCCGGTCCGGATGCGAATAGGCTGCCAATTAGCATTCTTCGCCCCCGAAATTTAGAACAGAACGGATTAGTATTTTTACATCAAATTAGACATTAGCCCCGTTATCTGATGAGAACAGGTCCGGGGACTAATAGCACAACATTCCACTTCTCCTACTGACCGTGAGCCTTCATCACTTATTTGTGAGTGTATGAGAAAGCTGGTCATAAAAAACAGCATGAAATTCTTATAATAAAGCGTATCACGGAATTTGAATTAACCATACCTTCAACATCACCTTCAAGCTCATCCAGTCTTGATGCTTGTTCACCTTCAATTTTCCTCCGTTTCATTTCACAATACCTTAAGCCGCGTGAAAGGAACGAATTTGACTTGTTTTGTAAGTTCCTTAGACAGTGTTTGGATAAGCGCCAACAAAAACAGATTATTACAATATTCAGAAATAATTGATTTATTTGTTGATATGAAAGTCAGCGGTCAAACCGCAGCTGCAAAACATTTTAATAAGGAAGCATCAAAGCGAAAGCCACATAAAGCGAGTTTTTCAAGCCATTGAAAATCAAATGACCCTAAAGTGTCTCATTCCATCAAAAAGTTATGTAATACTCAAAGTAACAAGCTTAGATATGAGAGTCACAATATACTACAAGCTGTGTTTTCAAAGTTGACGTATTTACAGGATGCAATGTAAAGCAGAAACCATACAATTAAAACTCTACTTGTGACCAGAAATCATCTGAAGAAGCTTTGGAAGAAAGCACGGAGTCTTGGCTAACTTCATTATCATCGTCCTATAACATAAAGGGTTCGATAACATGTAAAAGGAACAAATTACGTGAGAATACTAATAAAACCAACCACTATTCCTTTGAAGGCTTTTTCCAACGCCTCTGAAGTTGAAGGCCTGATTTGGGTGCGTATAGACTCTTTGGGTACTGGAGAGGTCATGAAGGAGAAGGGAGACTTCGACAAACAACTTAGTGTTTCACTGAAATAATGCAAGGGTGATGAGCAATAAACTATTTAAACTTCTATTAATACAAAAAGAATTTTATTACAAAACATCTATTTGATCCCTGTGAAGAAACAATACCTTGAGTTCACGGAAGACCGACAGGACTGGTTACTTAAGCGAAGGAGACTGTTCAACCGGAGACTGCTAACACCGGAACTCGAGGAGCTGTAAAAGAAAAGCGTTTTCTTTGATGCACGTTTCTCCTATTTTTCAAACGAGAGGATCTATCCAAGCTTGGACTCGTCAGCAAATCAGTACGAGTCTACCTGCACGTAGCTGAAAACTTCGGATTACTGGAAGAAGCCAACATAGCGATATGATGCTCGAAGGACTCCAGATCATCATCACTGTCATCTTCGTCATCACTCTCGTCATTAGGCCCTTGATAAATAAGGATGTAAAAATTATGAAACACTACAGAAGGTCATGTAAAAATGAGCGGAAATACTAAATGCTAGGGATATAAAAAATATCTAAATAAAGCATTTTTAGGGACCACAAGCATCTTCATTTCGACCCCAAACGTCAAGTTCCATAGTATCTAATCACGGAGCATCATTTCTCTGATGAAAAACTACAAGTTTCAAGGCAACATTGCTCATAAACTTTTTTTTTCAAGAACTATAAAGAACTGTATCTCACCTCTGAATATAGGCTCGGTCTCAGACCAAAAATTGCATAGATTCAATAATTCATTCATCACAGTTGCATCATCTTTTCCTAACTCTTCTTCACAACCACTGCAAAACTTGAATTGAAAATTCGAAATGAAATTAATCTCATAGCTATCAACACAAGAGAATGAATAGATCATTTAAAGCAAATATATGCGTGAAAACGCAGATTTGAGCGTAAAAACGCAAATGTGAACGAGCCTTCTAAAATAACATGAATTGAATGAATGAAACGAGAGAGAAAAATAACTTTTAGTAAACAAATGAGCTGACATGGAAGTTGATAAATGCACTCCTTTCAGCTAACCTCAAGAAAAAATGGTCACTCATAGCCGTAGGGCGACCATTAATGGTCTCTACATATAAAAATAGCAAAACAAATACTTAGAGAACTGAACACTAACAGTGCGATTTAGGAAATACTTACAATGCTCTGGCTAACGAATTCCACGCCAAGCCTTGCTGCCGCAAAAATGTGGAAGTAGACATTGTATTTGATTCTACATCAACGACGTGTAACTCATCGTCGAAACGGACACCCTAGAAAAAAGAAATAATTTGGGAAGAACTTTCCCAGAAGAATATCACTACAGCACAAAAGAATTCTTGCATTAGCATAATGTGAGACCTTTAAATTTACCTACCAATGAGAACCATAACGAACGGCATCGCCTCATTCGGTAATTGTAAATGCTATGAGCTCCTACTGTGCCGCACCCTCAACATCGATAAGATATTGTGGAAGGGTTGCGCAATTAGCTGGCTGAGGTCAGTCCTTTCTCTCCTATTGATGGACACAAGTGTCACAAAGGTCCTTGATCTGGCGCTTAACCAGGCCCTTTTACAGATTATTGTGATTGCAACTGCTTTCCTCGAAAAAGAGCTGGGTTTTCAGTATTGCACCGTCAAGGCTGCTATCCGATGAAACTTGCTTGCCAAGCAAATAGATTCTTACGTGACTTCTACCTGATTTTTCCCAAATGGACGATCTGAATAAGGTATTTTTGTTCAACTTTTTCGTTCGTTCAAGTTTTTTATGGCTGCCGAGACATATTTTCTATATGATCAGTACTTTATCAAATGAATTTGGAATTATATTGACCAAAGAGAAACTTCTGATGAAACACGAATGCGAAAGACTCACCTTTCTTTTTTGTGCCTCTCTCTTTGGTCTTGGTGGACAATCGTATTCAATACTTGAAACGGAAAAGTTGGAGCTACCACGAGCAAGTTTCAACATATTTTCGAAGCCCTCAACTGAAATAAAGTTGTTACACAAAAATTCTTTAAATGCAAGCCACTTTTATCCTTTTATATTGACAAAAAGAAAAAAATTAAAAAATAAGAAAAAATACTCGTGTCCTTCATATGCATTCAACTATGAAGCTAGACGAATCCATTCAATTGGCGTAGTGCTTCAGTAAGAATTCTTAAAATAATCAGCTCTGGTTGAGTCTGATGAAACTCATTTAAGACAGGAAAATTCCATTTCTTCTTAGCCTAATCAGGCGATGTGTAATTTGTTTTTTAACTGACGAAATCCACTATTGCGAAATGTATCGACTTTCCATAATTGTACTCACCCTACGTCTCTAGCGATACCTAGTATCAGTTGGAAAACATTTCAATAATCGTGTATTGTGAATTAGTGGCAGATTTAGAGTCTGAAAGAAATAATAGTTAAGAAAATAGCCTAAACACCGCACTTGGCTCGAAAAAACCCGAAAACAGAACACAAAACAAACAAAACGCCGACGGTGACGAAAAAACGTACTATGAATGCACTAAGGGTAAGTAACAAGGCAAGGGAAGTAGGAGGGGCGAGGAGGAGGAGGTTGTCGAAACAATCGAAATGTGCTTCACCTTCCCCTTACTACCAGATCGTTTTTCTTATCCAAAAAAATCAGCCAAGTTAGAAATTTCACGTCATTTTCTTTCCGGCAATGAGGATACCGTGAGAAAGTTGAGTTTTTCACAAAAAAAAAAATGAAATCGTGACTGAAAATGATGAAAATAAAACCCTGTCCTCTGGGCAAAAACAGTTTGCCAGCGAAAATGAATTGAATGCTTCAATATAGAAAAGCACCCAGGAGGCGTATCCAGAGCTGTCCCGATGAATACTAGGAAGTATTGTATGCGATGAAAGCCTTCAAACAAGAAACTCACGTTCAAAAGGATTGTCTACTATAAGTAACGTTTAGAAGAACGAGAAAAAAAAACAAAAAAAGAACCTTCAAAACATTTGAATGAAGCGTAGACTCCAAGAAGGGTCCACTCCGCTCGACAGACGGAAAGCAACTGAAGCGAATGCTTATCGATCGGGGCTTCTCGTCAAATATGTCACGCCATAACAATAAATCTGTCACTGATAAACACCTTCACCATTCAAATAGACATACAAAAACAAAATGCGATCAAGAAATCGTCCATTTGAGCGATTCAATTCAATCCACGTCGTTTTAAAAATTGAATTGCAAAGTAATTTTTAAAAATCAACTCCTGGCTACGGTAGGAAGCAGACAGTGCAGAGGAGGGAAGCGAAATTGAAAAAATTCCTTTGAAATCACTGTCAGACCTTGAAAAGTTTTGAATCCGGGGCGGTGGTCGGCGATAAGGTCGCTCGGGGATCAATTATTGATCGCTCTGAGATGCGATGGCACCTAAAGTGGGTACCGTATTTTATACCTTATATTGAAGTCATAATTACCTCCCATAAAACAGGTTCCCGGGTGGATTGTTTCGAAATCTGTCGAGAAACAAGTTTTCAGAAAATTTATTCAGTTTTGTCTGAAAGTGGTCGCAATCGGTTCAGAAATGGTCCAGGGTCTTTAAAAGTCACATTTGTCTGAAAATTATTCTAAATTTATCAAAACATGAGTTTTTTTTTCTTTGAAAAATACAGGAACTGGGTGGCGATGACGCAATAGGCCGATGCGACGGCCAGAACAACAAAGCCGTTGCTCAGGTCAGGGCGTGACCTGGTGGTGGTGCTGGCACCCTGCCAACCACTACCCGCAGTAATACCTTAAGAGTCTCCCGTCCGATTGTAAAGAAGGGATACCTGGGGATCTATGGATAAGTGTTGAATATGGGTAAGACCGACTTTCCCACAGATGATGGATGAATCTCATGCTCAACCTCTGATTCAATGGCGCAGTTTCCTGAGGTGACGGTACCTCACTTATCAGGATCTGATCCCTCTGAAGGAAACGAGTAGTCCTTTGCCCTAAATTTGGGAAGTTCAAGCCATGAATATTCGGAAATGTGGACTTCTGAGCTCAATAACAGACGCTGACCTTTTGACCCTTTTCAAGATAGATTATTCAACTGCACATAAATAAAAACAAGTTCACTAACCAGAGAGAATGGACCGTATCAGGGCTAGCAGGGTTTGGATTGGTGCTTCTCCCCCATAATGGCCCTCAAAATCGGGCGCCGCCTACTGTTCTCTACTTTTTTCAACCCACATTGAGGCCAGATGGCATGGCATAAGCCTTAGTGAACGGATGAAATCAAATCGATTAGCCGAAACGTATGCAAATGCCTCTTTGACTTTGGATAGAAGTGAGGTATGTGGCGCATCCCTGAAGTTGGTTTTGGGTTTGAGTATTCACAAAACCGTTAGTGTATAGGCAAAACGCTTAGATCGGATAGGATTCGAACGGTATATTCATGTTTCCGACACTGTTTTATGCTTGGGTCCAACTACTCTAAGCATACCGTATACTTCACATGTGTACGAACGTGCGTCTGAGGATGCACGCGGCAAGTTGCGCGGCGAAGTTCGTAATGATCTGAACGACTTTCACGCCTATCATTGGGGCCCAAATTTGAAATAGAGTGGATTAGGAGGAACATCTGACCCTAGTAAACTACACTACTTCGAGTTTGTGCCCCGAAAATTGGCGCCGCAGACGTAGAAACCGTCACAAACTTTGCCGCGCAATTCGCCGCGCGCTCCCTAGGACGCACGTTCGTACCGTCCCCCCAAACAAACACATCGTGGAGCGTCATAAGTATACGGTACGATTTCGGATCAATGCCAGAATTTTAGTCTTATTAGTTGATAAAGCTGAACTTCGCACCCGGAGTATGGAATAAACTCAATAAGGGGAGGCACACAGTCACCATGGAGCTACTCCACGGTCATACAGTAAAGCACAGCATTCAGATGAATGGTGATCAACAAAGATTTCAGGGTCAAAACTGAAAATGAGCCATCAAGAGTCATTCGACCTGAATGAAGACATCAAAACCAAAAGTGGAGGTGATCTCTGATTTAGGGACGCTTATGATGCCGTTCCTTTGAAGCTAGACAAATATTAATGTCTTTTGTTAATGTTTAAAATAAGGCTTTCAAAAACAATCGTGCACCAATCGTACAGCATGTTGAACAAGGTTTTCGATGTAGCCATCGCTCAGAATAATGGCGATTGTTCAGAGCTTTTCAAAAGAAGCTGTCTTCAACGGCCATTTACACAGCTGCTTGTACTTGGAGATATTTCTGCAATATAAATGGCACGTTTGATGGGATTTTCCAGCAGAGCTTTAAATTTGCACAATGACTACACTTTTATTAGTACTCGCAACTGTACTAGTTCTCACTCCGACCATCGTTGTTCATGCCCAACTCTCCGAGTGCCTCAATGGAGGAATTGGACGTGAGTTTGAAAATATCTTCATCGAAACGGTAGCGACTGGTACATTTTTTGTAATCACTTCAGATCCCTAGATATAGTCAATGAATTTCATTAAAGCCAAAAATGAAAATGGCCCAATAAGATTCACTATTCACCGGCTCCGATATGTAGGTTCACCTCACGTTAGAATCCTGCCGAACCGTACGATAAGAGCAGTATGCTTAGGAATCTATATTCACCATTGATAACAACAATAGCCAGCATTCCGAGACATGAATCTTTCTGAGAGATCCTAAAAAAGTCGGGGTCATTACTGTAGGTCCTGCAAGGCTGACCATGTTCAGAGTCCGGGGGATTCCGCGATACAGTAACCGCACTGATCATGTTCACAGTCCGTGGAATTCTGTGATATAGTAACCGCACACAGAGAGATAGAACATGTTCCACACGATCACCGCCCCTATACGACACACTGAAAAGGGCTTCGCGACGAGGGCGTAGGTACGGGAGTGGGGAAATCGTTGTGCCATCACTAGACAGTCGAGTCCAAGACCCATAGTCCGAATTACTACAAAATTACACGGACTGCAAAACCTAACTGGCTGGTACATAGTGGTACAGACAGGGTTCCGCTCCACCTAGGCGGTTGATTAACATCAATTCACTGATGCTCCACCAGAAGCAGCATTGGAGACGAAACCCATACCCTCGACTAGCGTATCACAAAGTCGAGGACTTTCAACGTGGGTGGTGCTGCACGTAAGTCATCAATAAAAGTTGAAGTGAAAGTCAAAATCCGAATAGCATCTGGGGGTAACGAGCAGGAAATAAGGCTATTATAACCTGATGAAGTGAATTGAACGGAACGTTCCCCTGTGTTGGTTACCATGTCAATCTGAAAGCATAGAAGTAGGGAAAAGGAATGAATATGAGGTCGAATAAACAGCAAATAACAAAACGATCAACAAAAACAACAAAGAATAACAAAACTAATGGGCAGCGTTTAAAAGTTTTGAGCCGTTACAGCATGTATAAATGGAGCTTGCGTGAACAGCTCGTATCGATGCATTACCACCAGTGTCGGCCAAGTGTGCTGTGAAATATCGCAGGTGGGTCAAATTTCGGTCCGTTTTCCTATTTTTTCAATTGCATTTTCTTTGAATTTTCAGATTCGAACCGTTGGTCAAACGGCAGTGACTAGCAGTGGTGTGTTTTCACAGAAATCTTTGAAGGCTTGACCTGTTTCGGGGAATCTTTTTGAATTTCCCTAAGGGAGGACTATATAAGAGCCAGTTCATTTACCCGACCTCTTTTATCTCTTCCTCATATCGCTTCAATACTTTTTTGGCGGGTTTGTTGACGATCTTCTCAAGTAAACCTCTTTTACAGCTTGCGTCGATCGTATAAATCCCCGGACAGGCAGATCGGATTGCCCGTATGTGACGGGCCTATGTGGCGATGCGAGATACCGTCAAATCATGCAGCAACAATGTCCAAGAACTTGTGGTTTCTGTGAAATTGGAGGATCGACGTTTGCCCCCCTAACGTCAGGAGGTATGTTACTTGGACGAAAAGTCAGTCAGGGAGCTCAACATTGCATAGGTCACATACGCATGCAATAGTCACTACAAATCTGAATGGCAGTCGAATGCGCGGCGCACCCAATGGTTTCGTCATCTCGCTCCATTTCATGAAGACGCATTTCATAATCGAGGAAAAATGTATCTTGAACTCACTTTATATATTACTGCTTATGGTCTGTGCCCTATTTCCCTCACCCCCGACCCTAAAGATTGACAGTATTCAAAGGACCTCTATGAAAACCCTTCAACTATCTCCTTGAATTATCATAATTCCTACAGGAGAATGGTTCCATTTAAGCCTTGTTTTTTCAGTATGCCAGGATCTGGTGAACACACTCACGGGAATGTCCGACTGTGGAAGGATGCAACAGTATTGTCGAAATCCTTACTATCAAACACTTATGAGTCAGCAGTGCCCAAGAACCTGCGGCTACTGCGCTGTCCAAGGCTAAGAAGACTGAAATGTATAATGCTACTGTATATAATTATTTTTATTTGTATTCAATTGCCTGTATATAGAAAAGACCGCGAACGTACCGATTTGTAATGTTACCACAGCGAAGGGCAAGTTTAGCTGCTGAAGATCGTCCACAGGAGTGAGGCGCATCAGATGGTCCACAAATGTTGAGCTCATATCTCTAACTATCAACCTGGTCCGGGATTCAGAGCTCCATACCCTTCAGCGACTACTGCATTAA